TTTATAAAACAAAATTCATTCTTTTTCTACAAAAGATCCAAGATAACTGAATAGTTTATAGAAGACATTAGAGTGATAAGATTTATTTTAATGTTTTTTAAATATAGGGTTTAGTTTAGAACCCGAATACGGAGCAGCTAACTCGGGTTATGAAGGGTTTATACCCTAATCTTGCGGTTTGATGGGTAGGGAGAGAGACAGTGATAGATTTTGTTCAAAATAATATTTTTAAAAAAACTGCGAATTTGCTAAGAGGATAAAAAAAATCTCCCGCTATTTAGGAATAACCGTTTGTTCTCTGGGAATGAAATTTGGGATTTACCGAGTTCATCAATAGAAGGGAAGGGACGACATGGTGACATAGGGAGTAAACCTTGTAAAATCGAATCTTCGATTGATTCATTTTAAAAGAATATGAAATCTAATGATAATTTGTATTCGCCGAATAACTATCCATAAAACATCCGAGATAAAAGGTAATTTAATTTTATAAATAATTTTTTAGAATGTATATTTGATTTTGAAATGATAGCTTTTTAGATTTAGGTGTATTATTAAGTATTTTATAATCTACTCCTTATATTTTATGGCAGATAGCTTTCACTTTTGTTAAATACATAATAGAAGTTATCCATTTTTACCCCATTATCGAAGTGAAAAACACAAAATATGATAAATAGGTTGTTTTATCTCATTTTTTTAAAATATATATTTAACATGATAAAAAACGTATTATAAACATATAATACAAGAAATATTATTATACTATTATTATTTGCACATTTTAACTGGGAGGATCATTCAGTGTCCATTGTGCATTTAATCCATTCAACATCAGCTTTGCAAATTATACATTATATACACTTATCACCTTTTTATTTTTTTTTGTGTTTAAAGTGTTTTGTGTGGTGATATTTTCTATGACTTATCCCTTTTTTCTTTTGTCATAGGGTAAAACTTTATAGAAGTGAGAAAGATTTTGTATAAAACTCTTTACATATTATAAATGGCGGTGTTATGATTGCGAGAAATTTTGGGGATATAATTTAATTATTCGAATGGATATGGCATTATGGTGAGATATAGAATAGTGTAGTTCATTTGACTATATCATCAATGAAAATAATAAATATTTTTTGAATTATGGGTGGGAGGGGTGACATTTTTTTATATTTTGTCCCTGCCAGAACTATAGAACAACTTATATAAGTGGCAGAACTTGGTTTGAAGTCTGGACATTTCAGAACCTAGGATATAAATTTTGATTAATTTATACATATTTTCATAAGAAATTAAAACCAGGAGGGCCATATCGGTAATATTAATGACGTAGCAAGACCAGTCAAAATTTTTTTTAAAGTTTTCGGTTAAGCACAAAAAATAATTTACACTGGTGGACGGGCCCAAAATTAATAAATTTACATTATTCAAGGTTTAAATAAAATCCAGAAGCTTCGTCCAAATGCCTGGTCCGTTCCGACCGGAGACTGCCATAAAAAGTGAAAAGTTTATGATCGACTGCCATTTTCCCCACGAGAGGTTTAGTCCTGATCTCCCCTACCTAAAAGAAAAGCAAGTTAATAATTTTTATTGGAATTAAACAATAACAATTCATTTTTAAGATCACAAACACAGGTGGAATATTTAAATTGGTAGTGACCTAAAGAGAAACGAAGGAAGTGGTGGTGCTGCTATATTTATATGAAGAGTTAATCCTTATAATGCACAAAGGTTTTAAGCTGATAGTAGGTATAAGCATGTACAAACAAGGGGAGACTGTCGATGCTGTGACCGCGTAAGCGAATTTCTTTAGCAGTGGCTTCATCCCCATATTCTGCTTTCACCAGGACAAATTGCATATATCATGCACTTCTACCATTGGAGAGGGGTGAGGCAAAATTGGCATTAAAATTAAAAGGGGGGGGGGGGATGACATATCATATGGTTTTGCTAATTTTGATCTGGGGTTAATATGATATCATTATTGGTTTCGGGGAGTGTAGAAGTTCTAGGCAAATATAATATGAGACATACTGTAGTGTAAAATTAAATAAGATAAAATATTACAAGTATATTGTTATAAAGATTGCAATGAAAGTAAATGATTTAATGTTTAATATAAAATGCCACTTGTGTAGAAAAACTTCTGATTTGTCATATCCATGACTAAAGCGCAATGTATTTTATACTCGTTTTGTTGGTAAACCTCAGCTCATAGTTTACATGCGTAACTGACAATATTAATATAAATTCGTAAGCAAAAAATAGATTGTGCATACTACAAACTATGCAACTGGTCATACACACAAATTAGGCAATTTTAAAATGATCTCCCAATTCGATATTTTATTTACAAAATTTTTATTTTCATTATATCATAGCAAACGAAACTAATCCTTGTCCTAATTCCCAACTGAGGACTTTTTATTAATTCAGGTATTATATCTAGCAATTCCTAGATACTAGCTATTAAATGTCCAAATTTATTTGGATGAAATTATTGAATATCACTAATGAGGTTTTACATTTTTTAGAGAATCCCACATCAAAACTATTGATTATTTGGTCTTATAGGGCAGGAATACTACAATTCTATAAATATCCATAGGATTATTAGGTTTTTCATCGCCACAATCATTAGAATATGCTTTTTCCGTGAGAATAATTATATGACAATATTTTCATAAAATTTTATAAGTGAATAATTATTTTAATTTTTTTCTTTGCTTTTATTTCATTTTGAAATAAAATCCAAAAATTAGGGTTAGTTAATTTAACTTTAACAATGGCTCTGGAGTAAGCATATCATCTTAGTTAGAAAATAGCGTGATTATTGTACAATTAATTCTCTTTAATAATGTATAATTAGAGCCTATAATTATTTTTTCAGCGACTTGCAATTTTAAAAAATAATAAACTAATCATAAATTATTCGTCGAACCCTATAAAACCCAGTTAGATTTCACTGTTAGTTTATTTAATAAATAAAAAAAATTCGATTATTGATGAGAGAAATTTATACTGCCTGAGCACAACCTTGAAGATATGTAAAATATATCCTGAGTATTACAGTAATAACAGTTCATTGTAGGCCTAAAACGAATTATTTGTTATTTGATATTCGATTCGATTCGTATTTTACGAATACGAATAACACAATTATGAATAATGAGGAAAATTATTCGTATTATTCGAAATTATTTATATATAAATATTCGTAATTATTCGCGAATATTTTATTGCAAGTAAAATAAAAAGAAGTAATTAAATTTTCCTAGTGGATATCATTTCGTTTTATTTTATTTCCTATTATCAAATATCAATCATAACAAGTTATATTTGCTCAAAAAGTTTAATGGAAGAAAAGGTAAGCTTCAAAGTAAAATATAATTATTTTATTTTGATTGTTTCTCTTTAATCATTTTTGATATATTGAACAAGTCAAAACATTTTTATAGAGTGTGTTTCTTTCCCATATTCTCGAGTTCCTGACAGATAAATAACTAATTTTTTTTGACTAGTTCTTATTATTTGATTAGGAAAATCCTTTTCCCATTTAGTAATCTTATTTTTGGCAAATTTTAAAGACAATCTAATTTAGATAGTGCATTATAATATCTTCATCCTCTATTACATTGTCATAATCACCTCTAAAAATTATATTAATAATTAAATAAAGGAAATTTATGCTACTAAAGTATTTTTATATATTAAATAAAATCTATAATGAAATACTTTCTAAAATTTTGTTATATTTTATATGCAAATATTTAAAATGTAGATATTTAAAATAGATTATAATTTTAAAAATTTTATTTTGTCATAATCACCTTCACCTCTAACTAAAAAAATGATATTAATAATAAAAATAAATACATGATTAAATAAAGGAAATTTATGCTACTAAAGTATTTTTAATAAATAAAATCTATAAAGAAATACTTTCTAAAATTTTGTTATATTTTATATGCAAATATTTAAAATGTAGATATTTTAAATTGATTATAATTTTAAAAATTTTATTTTGTCATAATCACCTTCACTAATTTTATTTTTATAAGCAATTCTAATTCTAAAAATCGGATATTTTGGTCAATTTGTTTGGTTAACGTTATATGAAATCATTGGGTTTTATTTCGTTTATTTTCTATAAATTTTTATATTGTAATGACAATTAGTTTAGAGAATCCTTAAAAGTGTCATCTTTAAACATCTGTAAAAAATTTTTTGCAAAATATTTTATAAGCTTTAGAAAAATTTTCAAATCGAATCGAATATTCGACGAATCGAAACAAATAATGATTTTATTATTCGTACGAATACGAATAATTATTCGATTCGTTTTTTTGTAGGCCTAGTTCATTGTAAGCGCTTTAATTAGATCGTTATCACTGATTTTTATAAAATCAAATAATAAAAAATCTATAATATTTAAAAAAAATGTTTTACAGAATGACAGCAGAATATATCATAGCAAAGTAATCCATATCAAGGATAGGCATAGATGTCGCAAATAACTCACTACAAGCTAACTTTTTAATTTCTAAATTGTAGCTCGTAAATGATTATTTTTTAAATTTATAAGCATTTCGGTAAAAAAAAATAATTATCGAGATTGATTTTTGCCGAGTAAAGGCAAGGAAGCAAAGAAAAATAATCTATCCACTAGTAATATTTGTTCGTTCTCCTTTAACATATGGTATATGAGTATAGCTCCTCATTTTATCAGTAAATTTTATCAATTGAGGTTTTAGGATATATCATTTTCTCTCCCTGAGGCAAAAATGATGATAATCGTTGAATAAAAATGAACGAGTCCTTGGAGAAAAATTTGTTAGCTTGTTATTTTAGGCTCCATGAATTTCAGATTTATCGATCAAAAAACTCAGTTATTTTTTGAATAACTCAAAACCAAAAATTCACATTTAAAAAAAATGGTCGAAGTATATTATAAGCCTTATAATTTTTTTTAAAATAAATTTTAAAAAAATTATGGTTACCTTCCGGCTATTCCATCAGCATCTATATCTTTGACAAAAACGCCCACGCTATCGTTGGACTCGTTCTGCAACCCTAGGATGCTTATCCCTAAACTGGCGTTTTCTGGCCTAAACAATTTCACGTTTGAGTTTTCAATTAAAGCATCGCCGCTTAAGGGTGGTGTCTTTAAGATCTAAATATATATTTTTAAAAAAAATAGGATTTATACATTGAGGGGTGAACTTAAACTGGTAGTCGGATCAAAAGACACCAAGCCAAAATGCCCAAATTGATCAAAATATTTTTATTATGAATTTTAAATTGTACAGTAAGATGGTTATTCTTTAGTTTTGAAATAAATAAATTGGGAGTCACAGTATCATTTTCGCAACTAAAACAAACATTGTAATAATCAAAATTTGGACCAAAAATAATTAGACTATTGGAGATCAGTGCATTCAATATCCAAGCAATACGATGTTGATAAATACTAGGATGCATCCATACTTTTAATTTTAGAAGATAACAAGAAATTTTAAAGTTTTTTAGATTTTTTAAAGAATACATATTTAGAATCCTTATCACAAACAAACAAAAAACGGTAAATAATAAGGCAACATTTTGATTGACAACTCTCGAATATGATTTAAAAGCTAATTCGGATTAATTTAATGGTGTCCAAGTTTCGTTTATTATTTTATTTTTTATAGAGAAATAAAAAAAATAAAATAAAAACCGCCTGTTTATAAGAGACAAGATATTTATTTTATATTAAAATCAGAGGCGTTACATTTAGGTACGCGAATAATATAGAAAAAATTAGGTGCCCTGATCAGAACACGCTCTTGTCACACCCCATTTAAGGTAAATGCATTTGAAATAAAATAAATCGGAGTGACGCAAACGCGTTATTTTATTTTGTCCCATATAAAGTTATATAAAAAATCATTCGAAAGCAAATCGAAAGAAAAAAGAACTTCGGCAAATTTTTCCGTAGATATTGAGGGCGATTTGTATCTAGGACTTGAAATCGGGGAATCGTATTCGGGCTTCCCTTCGTGGACCGGGGAAATTTGGGTTGATTTTGATCCCGCAGTAACCTGTTGGAATAATTTATAAGAAAATAAGGAAAGTTTCAAATTATATTTATGGTATTCAAATTATTTAATTTACATGATAAAATGTTATATATATTGTATAAAATTATTCTGTTGGATAGGAACATCGTAGAGCTAGGTATATATAAACATTATCACGAATATTAGGCAAATTAGCCATCTATAGTATAAAAATATACCTTTCATTATAGTTTTATTTTATCGCTTATGAAGTCGTATAGGCACCACTCTAATTTTTTTTACTTATATAGATTGGAAATACTAATCATTATCTTATGTTTTATAAAAATCGATTTGCCCAATTTTCGTTGAGGATATTAAATTATATACTGGGAATAAAGGGTCAAGAAATTTTTAAAAGTATATTCTTTATTTTGATACTAGATTTTTTTTATATATATAATTGAGTAATTTTTAATCAATCCTTAACAAAGCCCTTCACAGATGTAATATGTCAACTTACAATAATTCCTGATCATAAACAATTTTTTGAAAATGATATATAAAAGATATGAAGAAGATATGGTGCCAGGGGATTATAGGAATAAAAATATAGACTTCACCTTTTAAAAGGTAAAAGGTTAAAAGTCAACTTCCTTATAATGTGGAAACAAAAAATGACAAAAGTTATGACCGACATAATCTAGATGTTGATTCAATTTGGAGACATTATAATTAACAAAACAGATTCATTCTTGTTCTCAGGGATCCAAACCGAACCTGAACCGAACCGTTAAACCGCTAAAAACCTGTATTTTTTATCGAACCTAAACCTCTAAAAAATTTCTAGCCGAACCTGAACCGAACCGTTAAAATGCCTCTGAACTGGTTTGAGTCTCATAATTTTATGCTTATAAAATAATGTGTAAGTTATTACTAGTAGTATATTGCAAATATTTTAATTATATTCAAATTGTTTTAAAAATTATTACGTCAGTCATAATTTTTATAAACTTTAGTGTATTGCCATTTTGCAATATTTTTAAGCTTATAAATTATAATGAAAAAAATTAAATCTAATATTTAAATTATTTACATATAGTATTATAAATGACACATCAAATCTGATATCATACTGGCAATGCCAGCTACCCAAGTTAGTGTGGAAGGATGTTTTTCAACAATTAAATTTATATTATCTCCTTATAGATGTAATTTGAGTGAGACGAATTTTGAAAATATATTAATTGTGCAGCTTAATAAAAAAAATTTAAGTAATTGTTCATATTTAAATTAATTATTGGTATATTTATTTGTTATATTTATAAATTAAATATTATTTTATAATGTGCAATTAATAAAAATGATGGTTTTTATTTTAATTATGAAATAAAAAAATTTTTTTCCTGATACATAATCTTAATGTAGGTTTGAATACAAATGTGTTCAAACCGGTTTTTAGAGGTTCGAACCTAACCGATATTTTTATTTTTTGCGAACCGAACCTGAACCGTTATTTTTATCCGAACCTGAACCGAACCGATATTCGTTTCGGTTTGGAACCCTGCTTGTTCATTCATAATATGGTAGGCAGTTTATATATTTTCGTGATTTTCACAAAAAAGGTGTGAGTCCCATCCATGTATATAATAAGTCTGTATAAAAACTCGATCCGTGATAATCGGCAAAATCGGATTGGCCTCTAAAAAGCTTTTTCTTTCTTTCTCTCATCTATATTATAATGATATATTCCATATAACGAGAACCACCATTAACTTAAATGGAGTTCAAAACAAATTTTCTTTTGAGTAAGTTGATTGAAAAAATAATACCATAATAAATATTATACAATTTAGTATTATTAAAAACTTACCCTTTTGTTAGTGCCAGCAAAATGGGTTTCAACATATTCCGCGATTTTGGGAGATAAAATTAAGCCCTCCGTCAGCGATACCGCAAAATCATCGGACGTGAATAAAGGTAGGTCATAATTTTCGACGTAATATTTCAGGTTTTGTAAGGAATCCTTTTCGAAAATAAAAAATATTTTATTTTATGGGGACCATTATTTTCAGGTATTTCCGGTTCACATAAATTAAAATAAGACGTAGTGAAAATTGAGGTGACCACTCAAAGGGACATTTTAATTTTAAAAAATAACGGGGAGAGGTCGAGGGAAAGGAGGTGATCACTTTTGGAAGTTTTACCGAGTCTCATGACATGTATTCATTTTAAGAAAACTAAAATGTTTCCGTCCATACATGAAAATGAACTTCTCCGAGAACACTCTTTTTACTTACTTCCTTTCGTTCTTTCTTTACTTTTTTTGTTTTTTCTTTCTTTCTTTCTACTTTCTTAATGAAATACTTTGGGGAAATTGTATAAATCGATTGTGCTGGAGTTTTTAGAAATGAAACCAATGCTTAGGGTAGGTCTAAAAATTAATAAATAACCCATTCAAATATTTTTCAAATAGCTTGGGAAATATTTCTTTAGCAACACCAAAAAATTAAATTAAAAAATAGCAGAATTTAAATATTTGATTGAAGGTGCAATAAATTTAGAGAGAAATTTTACGTTGATCGTCAATATCTTTTGAAATAGAGGATCCTCCAATAAAGATATCGAATCATCGATTTCTTTGGCGGTAAAATTTTTGTATTTTAATGAGTAGAGTGAGTGAAGAACATTCAACGAATCTAGAATAAAATATAGTTAAATGTAAAAAAGTTTACGAAACTATTATTAAAATATATAACTTATCCCTTGGTGTGGTTTAAATATAAACATGCCTAATTTTTTTTTCACACTATTTAAAAATAATGTAATAATTAAAATAAAACGCGTGACGCTTAATTCAGTTCAAAGACAAAAAAAGATTAAAGTTGAGAATTATGCAGATAATTATATGAATAAACAATGACATGAAAAATCAACTTATTATTTATAAAATTTTTAATATTATATTTATAGTTAGCTCACTTTATTACCTAAAGAATATGATTTTTTTTTTATTTATTAAAAAATATAAATAAAAAAAAAGATATAACATAAATAGGACATATAAAATATACCATGAATGATTAACTAGCAAATAAATTATAACGTGAAGTTAAAGCAAATCTGTTTTAATTGGCCTTGCCTATGAATTTTACATTGATAAATTAATATAGCTTCATCGTTAATCTTTATGCATAAATTGTGCAATGGCCAATGTGGTAAGATAAATAATTAATCAACCATAGATAATAAATTTTCGCCATTTTCAAATTTATTTATAAAAAGAGAGTATAAAGAGAACGGTATTATAATTTTAAATTAATTCTTGAACAAGATATTCATCAAAAAATTCAAAATGAGTTATAAAAAAATATTGTGAATGGACATAAATTCAGAGATCTGTATAAAGATGCCTACCCGAAGGCCCGGTCCATAGGCCAGGTAATTAACTTAACGGGTTGGGTTAGACTATTCATGCATAGATAATTATCCGGGCCTCAGACACTGATTTTGAATTTGATTAATAATTTTTTGAAATATCAATATATAACAGCAATGAGAGCTTTATTTCTTTTCGTTTTTAGATATATATAAATGTAAATTTATAAAAAAAAATGTTCCTCCTATTTTAAAGGAAAATTACCCGGGCATAAACGTAAAATATACTAGATGCATTTCATAAAATTGTATCTAGGCACAGATACCATATTTTTAATCCAGATACTTTAACAAAACCATTCGGCCAATATTTATAAAAATTTTCACTAGACATTATTGAAATACTTGCCCAGGTATCAAATAACATTTCAACCATTTGTCCACCAAATTTTAAATTTATATGAGGACATGAACTCTGTTCCTTTGCTCCCTCAGTTATTAAATTTTTAGGCAATTTAGTCGGTTGAATGGTATTTATTTTAATCTCTTTTTCAATACAATTAATATTCATACCTAAATTCATCTCAGAATTTAAGGATCTCTGAATCTCATTTATGTTTTTATTAAAAATATCTCCTGGATATTTCTCACTTGTTTGATTACAATAATCCTTTTTATTCAGATTATTGGTTAATTTAAAATTTTTTATTTCATCAAAATGACAATAAAAATTTCCTACATTAAAACTCTTTTTATTCGAGTTAAATTTCAATGTATAATCATAATTATGATTATCTATTTTATTATATATATCCACAAAATTTTTAATAAAACTATATATCAAAATATTTATAATTCTCTAAATATGATTTTTCTATTTTTATATGATTCTCTTTCAAATCATATAGTCACTGTTACCAACTCACACTTTGGATAAAAAGGATTTATAAGAAATTCGACTAACATAATTTAGCTTATAACCAAAGTTGACAATAGAAAAAATGATTTCTATATTGTAATTTGGCCATAATATTTAACACAAGATGGCGTTAATAGCGCAATTAAAATGTAAAGTATGCTTTTAAAGAATGCGAATTTAATTAGAAACAAAAATTTAATGGCAGCAGCTAGAGTCCCACAGTGCCGCTCAGTCAATTCGGCCCACGGTAACTTTATCAATAATTCCTATACGCTTCTTTTAAATCTGAGCCGCTACCGCAGCGGTAGATCGAAAAATGTGTTTTGGAGTAGTTTGAAATTGGTGTCAATTTTTTTTACTCCACGAAGAAGAAGAGTAAATAAAATTTATTTTTAGTGTTGGGTTAGTTAGAACATTATTACGAAAACCTTTGCGAGTGGTTCAAAATTTATAATTCTAATTATCACTACTCCATGATGGAAAGTAAAATATTTTAAACAACTTGTTTTTTTTAAACAGAATATAGGGTTTTCGGTAGTAAATGAGTGATTTTATAATACAAAACCTTTGAGAGTAGTTTTAAATAGAATGCCGACTATTTTTTTTTACTTCACTAGTAACTTAGATTAAAATTGGACAAAAAAAATATTTTTCATTAATTTTTTTGTTTATAAACTAAAAGATGTTAATGAAAATTATACAATCAATTTTTAGATTTAAGGATGATTTATAATATATTATTACAGATAAATTGGGTATAAAGTTCTATAGTTGATTTTCTGTCACGTGATATTCTTTGATCAGAAATCAAAATTTAATAACCCGGCCAAATTTTTATATTCAAAAAAAAAAATTTAAACATGCTTATGTAGGACCAGGCTTGAATATTTTCAAAAATTGTTTCAAAAGGAAAATATTAGCTGTTATAGTGTTGCTAAATGGCTCAATTTGAGACGATTTTAAAAACGGCTAACCTCAAAATTTTAGCCATAAAAATATTTCCTAAGTCTCGAGATTTCGCGAATAGATATCCAAACCTTGGTCCCACCTATGAGCAATATCTTCAGACTTGCATAATATATTTTTGGGATAAAATACAGAGTCAAGTCGTATTTAAAAATTGGCTCAAATCGAGCCGTTTAAACACTAGATTTAATTATATGATTTTTCTTATATTTTTTTAGATAACTAATATCTCCTGTTATAAATATTTTAAGATCAGGCTCGAGTTTGTAAAATTTTTTTATTTTTTTAAAAGGACGATGAGCCAAAAGAGAATTTCAAATTTTGGAGTGTTTTAAAAAAAATTTCTAACTTTATAATTATAATTGTTTTGTTGTTTTTTTTAAAAAAAAAATTGGCAAAATCCTTTTTAAAATTGATACTTATATTATTAGCGATGAGAAAGTGGTTATATTTTATCCAGACTATTTTCATTAATTTTCATATTCAGACATTTGATTCTCAAATATATATAAAAAAAATTCCCACAAAATTAACATTTAAATATTTAGCTAAATTCGTTTTGGAAATTACTCTTTTATGGGAGTATTCTTTTTTTTGAACAAAAATAATAAATATAATTCCACCCGTAGCCAAAAATATCACGAACTTAAAATGGGTGTCCGTGAATTTATAAAAAAAATTCTAGCATTCGCACTAAAACTAAATTATCAAAAGTGTTCAAAAACTCTAAGCATATCATATCAAAATGGCTTCATAAACAAAAATTGAGAACTATTTTTAAGAGGCTTCACAAAATATTTAATTTTTGTAAATATTAATGTTTTTATTGATCAAATAATAATCTTCCACAATTATAAAATATGATGTTAATTAGAAATCGAAAATTGGGTTATATTAGAATAATATTTTCATTATCTTTTATTTTAAAGATAATCTTAAGAGGGAAAGGGTACAGTTGTTAAATTTAGATCAAAAAACTTAGTCGATATTTTTTTTATTTTACTATCAATATAATATAAGTAAAATTGATTTATTTTTGTATATAAAATAAAATAGGTTAAGTTCGTGTTTATCGTTGATATTTTAAAATGATAAGTCTTTACTGAAATTTAATGTTGAGCCTATTTTAAAAAACGGTTAACTCAATATTATTTTAGCAAGAAAAATATTGCTTAGGACTCGAGATTTCGCTAATAGATGTCCAAACCTTTGTGCAATCTCTGAGAAAAGTCCTCAAGCTTACGTAACATTTTTCTGGATAAAATATTAAGTTAGCTCTATTACTGAAGTTTATATATATACAATTGCACAGTAAGTCTGATTCTGGACCTTCATGGCCTTGTAATAACAGGAGAAGGGGTGGGTACGATATACTTGCATGATTGACATTTCAGGAGGAAAACCTCATAGTCAGCATTAGGCTCATTCAAAAGCGAATAATTCAAACGAATTAAATAATCAACTATAATTCGTAATTATTCCAATCAAATAAGAATAGTATATTTCATTATTCGTAAGAATAGTCAATTATTTGATTCATTCAAAGAATCGAATACGAATAATTCATTATCCGTATTCGTTATTGAATTGGCCTGGCCAACAGGCCTCTATCAAAGATTATTTCATAGGGCATATAGAATGACTCCAATTAAAGATAATTATCAATACTCGGACATGAAAAAGTGGGGGAAAAATGTTAGAGAAGCCGCCAACAAAGTTAAAGCCTTCTCGGTTGGTAGAATTACAGTGCAATTTCTATATGTATATTCTCATCTGTTTTGTCATATAAAAGCCGGTATCCATTTTATATTTTAGTCGTATGGGAGTGGGGTGAGTATTATCATTATTGGCTGGGGGAGGGGTCTTGAGGATTCTGGCGACCTTTACAGAGTAGGGTACCTGAATGAAATTAATCAGTTTCCGTCACATTCAAATTTTCAATTATTATAAACGTGTTCCGAGAAGCTGAAATTATATTGAGAACTCAAAAAATTCTGGAAGCTTCGGAACATATCCTGGATTCCCTCGTATCTCTAACATACACCTTTTGTTCCTAGAACATTCAATATATCTGGATTGAACAAAAATTTGCTGGATGTGTGGAGGTGGTGGAAAAAATGTGAATTTTAACGAAAATCAATGTTTTAGAGATTTATGCCTAAATTAGATTTTGATAATACAAAACTATATTAGTATTGTATTATAAATCTCTTTATTCTTTCAGATGTAAGTTATTATCTATAAAAAAATTTTTCCAATTATAAAAAAATATAATTAAATATCGGAATCTGGTAAAAAAAAACAAATATATATACATACTTTTTCAAAAAAATTGTATTGATTTTAAAAAGAACGATGTTTTCATTCTTTTTAATTGATAGTATTTTTGAGATAAGAGATTGATAAGAGATTTAGAACACCATATGAGAGGACAAT